ATTTTGTTTTCAATCATTTTAATTTAGTTTTGAGATGGACCAATAGGAAAATTGTGGTTTAATTTTTCTTACAAACTTTTTTTCTTATTGTGAACTCAAACTTTCTCCTTAAAACAGTAACTATATGTGTTGTGTGTGTTTGTAACTGAGGCATAAATGTTTTGGTAAAAACCAATTAGTGGTATGCACATAAGATACATAAATAAAACAGAATGGAAAATGCGAAGTGTAAATGATAGAGTTGAAAATGAAATATCACTGAAGATGTAGATGTTCGTGTATTATGCTCTCTTTCCTTTTGACATTAAGGATACGTGTAACATAAATATTTTTAATATGGAGTTATTTAATTCATTGAGAGATTAAATTCATATACCATGCCTCTGAGTTTAGGAAAATAATACTGAGTGTTATTAACACACGTATAATGTTATTTCAGAGCTCCTTCCTTACCTATGTCATGTTTTTACAATCATGTGTACCTAGAAAAATTAGATGTCTTAAGAGAAAATGACAGCACTGTTGGAGTCAAGCTACAACTGATGACTGAAGGTAAGTAAACAAATATGTTTAGAAATTCACTTTATAATATAGATGAACAAGAGTAGTAGAAATCATCAAGTTTTAAATGATAACTAATAATTTCATGTACAAATAGATTTTTGAGCTATTTATTATTATTCTGAATGAAGATGAAACTGTGACTTGTTAGAATATTATTTGAAAGAAGTTTTTCTTAATAATATATTACCCTTTGGGATTCCTGAATTAATAACTATGTGTATAATAAACTCTCAGATGTGCTGGAAAGCTTTATAATTTAAAGACAACTTTACATACATAATTCTGTACAATAAGGTTTCTTTTGAGACAGATTTGTTTTGGAATCGAATGTGTGTATCGTTTGTTAATTTTGCTGGCATAACATTTTGTCATATTCATTTTTCAGCTTTAGGACCTAGTAAATTGCTAGAACCCCAGAAACAGACTGTATTACGTGTGATAAAATTTGGTGACTCTGCACAGGTGAGATAATTATATCTGCCATTATCCTATTTAAATAGAATTTCACTAATTTTAGTTTACTCTTTTGGAGTTGAATATTAACATTTTTATTTTATAGTTTTATATTTTAAAAGTAATATTGATTTAGTTCAAAAGTAAACAACAGAAATATTTTAAAGAATGTACATGTTTATTCCACTGTAAATAGTTATTCAGCTGTATACTATAAAGCTAGGGACCAAACTGTGTAAAGGAAAGAAAAGATTACCCATAGTAATGTTTAAGGTAAACCAATACTCTAAGAACATATGTGGTTTACTTTTACCTTCTTTAATAGAAATTAAGATATTTTACAATATCAAAAAATTAACAGTGATTTTAAGCCTCATCTTTCAGAATTCAAAAGTTAAAGATCTCTAGAGTTATTGTATGATACTTTTGACAAATAATTATAACAACAAATTACAGGTACAAATGGCCTTATCTTTCCAGTAAGATAGTACTATGAATGAAGGAAAAGCATCTACAGTTGTAAAGCATGACCATAATGGCTCAAATACTTTTGAAGATTGATTTCTCCTTTTCCCGTGCAAGGACCACTGTGTAAAAGTGCTTGAAAATTTTTTTAGTTTTCTTTTCCATTGGCATACGGCTTAGATATGTATGGGTTCGACCATTGGCAATATTACTTGGAATATTTTTTTGCTTCTTCTAATGTGAATAATTAGTCTTAAGTTTATTAACCTTGATATTAAAGTGCATTTTTACAATAATTTTTTTGTTGGAAGTTTAGTTAATAAACCTACCATTCTTTCTTATACATGACTCTTGTGAGTTTAAGACAAAGTACCTTCACTTAGAGGTTTTATACTAGCTTTAACAGATTTTATAAATGTTTTTCACTTGGAATACATTTTTTGTTATAAATCAAACAAAATTTAGTTTTGTAGCCAAAATAGAAAAGGAAAAGAAGTTAAACTACTGTAGTTTTTTCTGTTTACATAGTTTGCTCAATATGCATACTTATTCTTTTTCTACAAAATTAAAAATGGCAATTTTTTTTTTTACCCCAAATTAGAAAAAATTCTATAACAAGGCTTCCAGATTTCATTCACTAGGTTTGCCTACTTTACATTCTAGAGTCACATGAAATTTTCCAGGAAATTTCAAAATCTTCTGTATCCTGTCAAAAACTTAAAATGTAACGTACAATCCAATCCCGTGTAAGCTATTTGATAATGTGTGTAATATTAGCAATATCCTGATCAATATATTACTTCTTGTTACAAATTCTTTTCTTGTAATTCACAACATCACAGTTTGTTCAAGAAATTCAGTGAAGATTCTTAGGTGAATCAGAAGCCAAACTGAATTTACATTCAGTTTTACAGCACATGAATAAAATGATGCAATGTGTGTAATGCCAAGTTGCTTTATTTTGCAGTGTTATGAAATATCACTTACTGTTTTAGCTGAAGCACTCGAGCATTTTTGGATAGATTTAAGCATTATAATAACAAATATCTGCTGTTCTTCTGATAGGATGTGGTAGCTGCTCTAGGAGCTCCCAGCAAAGTGTTCTACAAAGCTGAAGACAAAATGAAGATCCACTCCCCCAACTCTCACAAACTTTTGACTTCTCGATCATCAGATTATTTCTATAACTACTTCACTTTAGGAATGGTAATTACTTCTGTAATCAAAAAACTAAAGAAGATGGTATTAAAGAAAGAGTGTGCATTTATTAGGTAAAATACAATTTAAAGAGTAACTAGTGGTCAGAAAATACTATAATTTCTTCATGTTTCAGACTGTTTTATATAAACTTGTTTTTATTTTTAAAGTGAAGTTTGATTTTTATTACTCATTTATAGTTTAAGTATCAAACACTATAAATGAAAAAATAGAAGCTTCTATAGGACCGTCATCATCATATGTTATTTTAAAGAAGGTGGAGGAATTCTTTGCACACTATGGCTATTGATAACCAATGTGATTAGTAGGGTAAATTTTCAAGAAAATGCTTTTGGGAATCAGATGTAATTTAAATGATTTTTATGATAGTCAAAAGAAGAATTAGCATGCAATATATTATTGAATGGGAGTTAGTCTGTCACACTGTTATCAATATTGTGTTAGTTTTTATAAAGCAATTATAAATTTAAACATAATCACAAAATTCCATTCTTCACAAGATGGGCTATTTATGTTATAAGGGATGGATTGTAAGTTTTTTGAGGGGTAAGGTAAATTTATAAAATTTGTTAAAACTATCTTTTGATTCTTCTTTTATTGTAGGTTTGGGCAGTGTGTTCAACATGTTGACTTCATATTTATTGGACTTCTCCTGCCTTTTCATTTATTGAGATAAAGATTGAGGCAGAGCCCAAAATATTGTTTAAAATCCTCATAAAAAGATGTGAAGTTCATAAAAGTACAGATTAAATACTGTCAAATTCAATGGTTCTCCTGTGATTGTGTCATTTTTCCCCTCATCAATTCAATTATTTGGCACTACCTGCAATCCTTCTTCTAACCTATGAAGAAGAGGAAAGTAGCATAGACCATTTAAATTAATATAAAATATTAGTTAGTACATGTTATACTATGAAAGTGAAATTATAAGTTGTATGCTTTACATTGAAGAACAGAAACAATACTGGGATATTGTGTTTAATCTTTTTGCTTTACATATATATATTTCAACAGTGCAAATATTAGTCATGCAAGGCATTACTCAAAAATGTGTTCCTTTTTTTTCCCAGGTACAGTTTGAATCAGATACAAGTCTGATGTTGTCTTAATTTGTATATTTAGTTTGATTATACTATAAAAAACAAGTGATCTGTCCTTCTAAGGAAAGAAGATATCACCATATTTATTGCTCTTTTTAGGATGTCTTATTTGACTCTAGAAGCCACAGAGTGCAGAAGTTCATCCTTCACACAAACTATCCTGGCCACTATAACTTCAACATGTACTTTAGATGCAACTTTAACATTGCCCTTAGCCCGCCCAAGCCTCAGGACCCGGAAGGTGCTGTCTTAGTTGATGTTACTGATCAAAACACCCAAACAATCACAGCTGTCTCAAAAGTAGGAATTAAAATATTTTTACATTATATAGAAAGTTCTTTCCATTATACATCAATTTATTAAGAACCAAATAAAAAATGCTTAGGTTTGAATTTGAGAGAGTAAATGTGTTCCTGTAATGCATAAACTTGAGTATTTTTTTATATAACATTCTAGATTTTTTACACTAAATTAGAAGAATTTGTCAACTTTAAATTTCTCAAAGTAAATTGTAAGAAATTAAGTTAATTTTGTAAGGTTATCTTTTGGAAAGTAGTACATATTCACAATTGTATTATTATCATTAGAATAGCATTGGAGAAAGTTATAGATAAAAATGTTTGCATTTGTGTGTGTGTGTATGTTCATTGAGATATACTGTTTGGTTATTGGATATATTGGATAACTCCTCTAATGAGTTTTTGTCCTTTAAAAATATTTTAGCTTGATTGGTAAAGAGAAGTCGTAACAATAATTGAGTTGATTTTCAAATATAGCATCAGAAAGATTTGTTGATAGTTGAAGTTTAAGTAATATCATTATCTTTGTTATAAGAAGACTGTTTTATTTCTATCATTTATATCAACTGCTAGGTTATGAAGAAGTTACCATCTTTTCAGATTAAATCATACTGAAAATTTAATGATTTTTTGAATTTGGATAGATATCAGTGGCTTTATATATGGTGTACTCCCCTCAGTATGTTTTTTCTTTTTCAATTAAAGTGTCAGTAAAACATTCAGTGAAAGAATTATAAAGTCTATTCTCATACGTCTGCTTTTTCAGTGTTGACTATATAAGAAAGGGGGAAATTTACTGAAGTGCTGTTATACAAATGTTCAAAAAGTGATAAAACACTAACACAGAAGTTATAAAGTTGTAAACTTGAATTACAGTATACAAAATAAGAATTTTCTCTGTTCAGCGTGTAAAATTATAACATTTCAATAGTTTTGAGAATAAGTAATTTGGACTTTTGCATTTTAGAAGACTGATAGTTAAAGTCTAAGAAATAGTATTTTGTAACTGTTATATATAACTTGGACATTTTCTGTAACAGTTTTGCAATGTGATGCATGTTTTGTCAGTGAACTTCTAGATGTATTATGCAATTATGTATGAATAATGCTGTTAACAGTGCAGGCACCTATCAGACAATTGAGTCCGTTGTTTTCTAAAGTATTGATTCTGAGTCAGTCTTTTATACAGGATAGCCTTCATTATTTGCTAAGTTACCTGTGAATAATTGTAGCTTTGATGTTTGTATGTTGCTTAATTTTTATCAAAAATACTTAATAAATATTAAATGTTTTCAATTAAATCTCATTAAGAGTCACCGATCAGTAGATGATTATATAGTAAAAGCTTTGTTATCTACCATCTTCATATACAGAAAGTTCTTGTAACAACATCTCCAAATACAACTGCTCATTGTACTTTAGTGGTGCTGCTGTGGCTCTGTTTACGTTCTTTCTCACCAGCAAGTTTTATATGTTAGCCATCTGTATTTATTTTAATTCACATCTAAATTACTGTACTTATTAATGTTGTTGTAAGTTTTTTTCAACATATATTATTGTTTAAAACTATTATTGTTATATTGATGTAGAAATACTGTACTTTAGAACACTAACAAGGTGACAAAATTTTTTAGGTAAAATAATGTCAGGGTAATGCTTTTGTCACAGGAGTTTTCACTTATCTGGCACTGACCAGGTCCAACACATGCTGGATAATAAAGCTAAAGCTTTTACTGTGTAATGATTAAAACATAAGCATATTCAGAAGCAAGTTCATTACATTTCTTTTTTATGCTAATTGATCAAGTTTACAATGATTACTTTCTTTTACAACTGTTTTGTAGTTTGTAGAATTACTGAAAACTTTGTCACTCATAAAGACTAATTACTAGGACTCAATGCTCAACACTATCATAGATAATGTAAAGTACTTTGCAGTATTGGAATATTTCTACCCAGTCAGTGTAGCAGGTTTGGTGTGAAATGCCGTACATAAATAATAAGTGATTGTGTGTATATATATTTCGTCAGAATCCTAAGTTGTATTAATATAGTACTGATCTTTTAAAATAATGAACATAGAAAAACTTATAAATAACCCTTCGTGATTGTGTATATGTATATTTATATGCAATGCTTAATATTAGAAGTAGGTTAAGTCCACACAGTGGTTATATAATAATATGACAAACAAAGCTTTACAACAGTTCAAAAGTAAACTACTTACTATTAAACATACTTCAAACTTTAATCATTTTTCAATGTTTCATAATGTTTGAATATTTAAAATTCTTTAATATTTCTGTTCAATCAACTGTATAGTGGGATACACTGCAGGAAAGGTTGCTAAAACAGTCTGAAAGACCAGTAGTCCTAAACAGAACCTCTTCAACAAACACCACTAATCCATTTGGATCAACCTTCTGCTACGGCTATGAAGATATGATATTTGAGGTAAGTTTCTTTTATTCATCTTAATATTTTGAATTATTTGATTAAGGAGCTGAATATCTTATATTTGAAAGGTGAATTAACTATAACTGAAGTTGTGAAATATGGTTTTAGTTAGTAAGAAGATGATATTTTTGATGAACCTTTGCTTTCATATTCATTTCAGGTAATGCCAAATAACCATATTGCCTCAGTTACCCTTTACCAAAAGAAACATCCCAAGAAAAGCAGCCAGACTGTTTGATAGCAGTATGAGAGTAAAGTGCTACGCCAACTAGTCACATGGCCATGAGGCCTGTGTATATCTTGTTGCTTCAGGATCCAATATTAGCCACGGTATGGTGTGAATAGCCTTCAAGGAATTTCAACATATCTGTATCAACATAACATTTGCCTTGAATCAAACTAGCACGTTTTTTTTCACATTTCATGCCAGCCTAAGGATTTGATTCATGGTATCACATCAGTTCTTTGTTTCTCCCTAATCTGGTGCTCATCATAGTATTGGATTTTGTGAAGAAACAATATTACATCTGGTACCTGTTTTAAATAATTCTGTTTCTTTAGGATTGTCTAAAGTGGTTCACATTCCACAGCATTTCTGTGTAGATCTCGTTTATATCACTTGGTCAAGAGATACCCAGAGTGACATAGTAGCACTAATTGCTCATATTGTACAACCTAAATGTGCTGTGAGAATAAAAACTAATGACAGCAAGTTGTATTTATATTTGTTAGAAAAAAAAAATGATTGTTATTGTACTAGGATGAAATGATTGTTTAATATATCTTGTAGTGCTGAGAGTGATTCAGTTTAATATGATGTATACTTGTATATGTGTGTGATTAGTGTGTGCTTGGCATAACGTTTTTTATCTCCAGTATTCCATCTATAAAGAGATGTCTTTCTTTCTGCTGTACTCGTAGAGTTTGAAAAGTATTTTTAAAATTTTTTATCTCAATTTTTAAGTGTCCTTTTGGCCTTGGCCCATCAATTTCACATTTTATCTGTTGAACTATAAGATCTGGTACATTTTTGTAGGGCATTTTTAGCTTTTTTTTCATCATATGAGATCACCATCTTGCAGATGAAAACTTACCTTTGTACATTGATTTATCAGTATGTTTTATTTTTAGCTCATTTTTCCAATTTTAGAGAGAAAAAAAAGGGTTAATAGTGGCCAAAATGAGATTATGTGAAAAGGATAGATTTTTGACTTGCAACTACTGTGATTAAAATTTTACAGTGATCTCAGCAACAGCGATAGATGTAATATTTTGCTTGAATATTGAACTGTTGCATTGGGTTTTATAGTTGAGTGTGCAGGTATGAGAATTGTAGAGTATTGATTTGTTCATGATACATCAACCTTGCGTGTTTAGTGTCATAATGAATGAACAAGTCTTTTAACATAAGAGTTGTTGGTGCTGACTTTTTAAAAGAAACTGGCAAAATGTCTGTTCCAAAAAGTATAATGGGAGTAATATTAACCTTGAATTTAGTGTATAACATACTAATTAATCATGCTACTAATTATTAATAACAACATTTCATCACTTTCAGATGAATTTTTTTCATGATCTTTCTTACTAAACAGAACCACTAATGGGCAAAAATTACTGGTTTTTTTTTTGTGTACAAAGACTTTAGAAATTTAGAGAGAAGCTAGTAAATTAAACTTATTATTGTTTCTCTATATATTAAGATTATAATTTTCATGGAAAGTGATGTAATTTAATATACTACAGTTTTCCCCATTTATTACTCTATTGCATTTCGAATATTTTTGAAGTCACATTAGTTGGTATCTTCATATTAAGATTTGGAAGGATTTTGAGGAATAATTTATACTGCATACAAGCTAGGCTTTAGATTTCATGTCCTATATATTCAGGTACAGAAAAGCTATTGCTCTTTAGCAATGACATGGATATTGTTATCACTAATAAAACTATAGTATTTTAAAAAAATTATCAACCTAAGCCTATTGCTGTAATTGCCATTTTAATATTGATGATGCACATTAAACACTTTCCAAGGATTTAACAGCATTAGCTTTCCAGTAAATTTGAATACATATTTTAAGGTTTGAAGAGTTTTTACTGTAAGTTTACAAGTTTTGAAAACCAAACTGTATATCCCTCTTCACTATACTAACAATCATTTGTTTTAAATTAAAAATTGCACAAAACTCATACCAGCTTCGTTAAATTCACTGAAAAAACAGTGTGTAGTTGCCTTAAGTGTAAATCAAGGCATGCTTATGAAGAAATCTGCTTTTGATAACTGGAACATTGGTACCAACTTTTCATTTCCTAGCATGTGGTTAAGTCATGAAAAAGAGTTTAAAAAGTTTAGCAGTTATTTTGGTAAATATATTTGTCAGTTTAGCCTTAATTCTATATTTGTAAATAACACGTTCTAACTATAACTTGTAGAAAGACTGTGCTGTTTATGCAGTAATTTTTTTTTTTACTTTTAAACCCTTTATTTGGAAAGAGTAACTTGGTAGTAATTGTGTGATATTCCAATAGTTTTGTCAAAAAATTGAGATTTTGCAGGTGACCTTTGGCTGTAGATTAACTTGACACCCCTATAAAAGACGTTTACCAGTGTTTTAATAATTTAGGAAGTATATAGACAGTTAAAAAACAGAAAAACGTGTAAGAAATGTTTAAGCAGATGACAATTTTATGTTTAATTCCCAGGAAGAATTATGACTATTGGTATTAGATACTTAAGAGCCCCACCACCCCCATTGGCTCAGCAGTAAGTCTGAAGGTATTTAAGAATGAATTAATTCAATTAGAAAGCTTTATAAGTGAGATCTTAAATGAGGTATATTTCTAACTGGAGATCTTTACATTCTGGTGTTATTAATATACAAATAGAGTACAGTAAAGGTAATTGAAGGTAAGTTGTGGTTTTGCTAAATCTCCAGCAGTACGATTGTAATTCTGTGTAACTTTTTATTACAGACAGATCACGATTTAGGTCTTTCATTTTCATTGCTTATCTCGGAGAAAACATTGTAATATTCCATAAGTAGCACTTAATAACAGTATCTTAATCAGCCACATGTACAAATGACATATGTTTAGTGAAATTTTTATTTTTAGTAATGCTGAAAGATGTAATGGTATATTTTTGAACTTGTCACAAGTAATTCTTGACTGTTCTACCATAAAATATCAGTGTGCCAGGAAGTGTATATATGAAAAAGAATCAAACAGATCTGGTTATTAATGTCACTTTAGTTTCTAATGTTTTATATATACAAAGTGAGTTACACTTGGATTTCTTTTTTAAGGAGGCTTGCTAAAGAAATGTGTGTTAGTTTTGTCTGTTTTCAGTGTTTTGCTGTGTAATAGGTGTTTTAATTGATTTCTTTCTTCTTTGATATAGCACCAACTTTCAATGTCCATACAAGACATTCTACTTTTCTCAGTTTATACTTTGGTTGGAAAAATAAAACATATCTTAGCTCAATGCAATAAGTATTCTCACCTGATATTTACCCCATTCTGCCTACTCTTGCAAACAGAAAACTTTTGTATTATAGAAAACTTCCCAGTATGGTAATGCAATATTTTTATGCTTTGTGGACATAGATATTAGAGAGCATTTAGCTTTTTTATTAACAGAATTGAGAAATTTATATAAATATTTTAACAGCTACAAATTTCTTGTGAGCTGTCATTAGGAGTTTACAGTAGTGAAAACAAATGTTAGTTTTTCTCAAATTTTATTTTCCAATATTTTAGCTCCTGCAGCAACTATCATTATTATAGTAGTGTGTTAGAAATTTTATCAAAACGTTTTGGGTATGCTGTTATCTAGGGTTTTGAGTCAAACCAATATAAAAGTACAATTTTTGACTTTTTTTTTTTTTTAACTATCATTTTTGTGGGAGTTAACAAAAGACTGCATTATTTCTTATATTTTGTGTGAAATGCACTGGAGCACACATGTGGGGCAAGGGTCAGGTTCTGTCCAGTAACCCCCCCTCCTAGAGCTTGAAGTTGTTCACCTTTTTTTAACAGAAATATTTTGATCTAGTGCAGTAAATATTTTAGATTGATAGTGTCATTTTAGTATTTTTAGTAAATTTTACTTTTTCAAGTAATTATTTAGCTCAGTTTGCAGGGGCAGATCGATGTTTAGGGGTAGATCACCCTACACTTGTTTGTACATCTATTGATGATGTCTACACCAGTATGCAATTCCAAGACAGCAGTTATTTGTCATAAAGATTTCTTAGAAAAGGTTCCTTGATCCCAATTGGATCTGCCTTGCTTTGGAAACCCCCCTTTTAAATTTCTGTATGTACCCCTGAGTTATGATATTAGATTTTTAAGAATAATTACTCTTTTCAGATTAAGTGTTTAGAAATGAAAATTAGAGGCCAAAATTAAATAGAGGAAAAAAAAAGTATTAATGTTTAAAAAACAATTTGGTTAAACTATAATTATCTGATTTAAATGTATTATTTGTATTATTGCTGTGAGTTATGCATATTTTACTGCATGTCTTGTTAATTTGATTGTATATAAATGTATGTAATTAAAAAAAATAAATAAGTTACTTTTTTTCATCAAGAATAACAATGAATGCAGCTAAGTTTTTGTTACTGTTTGCAAATTTTTAAAATGCATTAAAAACTTAAACAAAGCTTAAGAAAATCTGTATTGAATCATTCCATGTGTAACTTAACAGAATGTAATGTGCAAAATATTTCAAGTTTATGTAAATTAAAACCAGTTGTTAAAAGTTGCACTTTCAGTTACAAAGTGACAGACATACATTTCAAAGGTCTTCATTATAGCAGATTTAGGCTGTAAATTCATGAAGATTAAAGTTTAAAATTATCAGCGGATAGCTTATGTTAAAAAACTATCTTTTATGTGTGATCCAATAATTCCATAGAAAACCATAGAATTGAATTTCAGAATAACAGAGTACGTGAAAATGTTTGCAAGAAAACCAATTTTAGCAGACAATAATTATTTTTTAACTCTCAGGAAGAGCCATGAGACAACTTATTATGTGCTAAACAGATGCAAGCTTTTAATAAAAATTGTTTTTTAGAGAAAAATAGGGTAACTCAGTAAAATATTAAAGTTGAAATAAGAATTTACAAAACATTCTTCAAATTTTAGCTTATGTACTGGATCAGTTTTTTAAATGTTTTTTCAAGTTCATAGAATCTAAACTGTTTTTTAAAACCTATTATGCAAGTGAAATGGGGAAGAATCATCATAAAATATTGAAAATCCTTCAATAAAATGTGAATATTACTGTAAATATAATTTTGCGTATATTTCAGCTCATTGTACGTTAAAGATAAATAGAATACCTATAAAAATCAGTGAAACTCCTTGTTATATTCATAAAACTGCATAGATAAAACATATTGTTCATTTTCTTAGAATACCTATAAAAATCAGTGAAACTCCTTGTTATATTCCTAAAACTGCATAGATAAAACATATTGTTCATTTTCTTGAATATCTATAAAAATCAGTGAAACTCCTTGTTATATTCCTAAAACTGCATAGATAAAACATATTGTTCATTTTCTTAGAATACCTATAAAAATCAGTGAAACTCCTTGTTATATTCATAAAACTGCATAGATAAAACATATTGTTCATTTTCTTAAATCTGTAATTTCTTTTAAATTTTATTACATACTGATTCTGTAACAAATGCTTGGTAATATAATCTGAAATAAAGAAATGAGTTGTAAGCATATAAAGTAAAAATGAAATTATCCAAGTTTATTTTTTTAAGTCTTTATTAAGACATATGCATATTTAAACACAAGAATATGTTATTAATATTATCACAACAAGAAACCATAACTTTCCACATCTCATTTTGTAATACTTGACTACAGGTTAACAAGATTTGACTGAGATAACTTTTTTACTAAGAAAATGTAATTTCCTGTACTTTTATTTCCTTTAGGAATGATTGATCTGTGTGGTTTGTATTTATAATCAATTAACTGGCTCACTCATGCTGGAAATAAATTCTTTAAGTATACATTATTAGTTGACATACCATTCAGTGCATTGAAAAGACATAGGGATAAGGCCTAGGGATTAGATCCAAATATCAACCTTTCTGTGTTACTATCTTGGGGGCATTAAGGACACTTGCAAAGTTTGATGATAATTTGGCTCAATGGTTCACCAGTTAGAAGTGGGCACACACAGACTTTCATCAGATAATGATTTAGATACTGATAATTAGGAATGTACAAATGTAAGTATAGGTAATCATATAAAATGATTTGGGTTTTTATATATAAACCATTTTAGATTTAGTATTTAAACTCAATATGTCAATGAATGGAAGACACAAGATTTTAGTAGTTTATACTTTATCGTCTCATTAAATTCTCAAACCAGAAATATTTGTGATGCCCTGGCAGAGTTTGCAAAAAAATAAAAGTTATAAATTTTTTGAGAAAGTAATGTCTTTTTACTGTTCTTTTCTTGTGTGTGTTTATGAATTATTGTATAGGTGCATAATGTAATTCTGGGTAGTTCTATTTGTATGTATATATATATGTATATCCTGTCCATATGTGTTTCAATATTAGTTAGAATATATGGAGAGTAAAGGTTTGTCCTGGGTGTTTGTGTGTGCAATTAAAACTTTGCATTTCCTTCTTCTATAAGCATTGAAAAAGTTTTTGAACAATTAAACTTTATTCCCTGGATAAAAGTATGTTTTGTCCATAAGCAAATTTAATACCTCAGTTTTTATTATACTATCCATACCTGAAACATAATATAAATCAGATTAACATCCAAATTTATACATTTGTTGAAAGAAACACATTCACATAAGAATACGGTAATTTTTAGCAATAAAAATTTGCATTCAAGAAAATAAAAATATTACCTCTAGGAAAACACTCGGTGTGTCATGTGAATAGCACACTTGGCTGTGATATAACTGACCAAGCTATGAAATACCTAGTTTTTCCAGTTAACATATAATTATTATGATTGATGTACAGAAATGTTGCTATGCCACTTCTTGAAATTTGAAAACAGTATGTATATGGTTAAGCTTTGTAGGACAAGAAATAGTACAGTAAATTAATGTAGCGATATATTTTTACAAATTTGTGCTTTGTATGTTTATGATGATTGAGATCCCTGGCAAAAAAAGAAAAGGGAAATTGATTGATTTTGCTGCCAATTCCAAGCAGTGAATTAAAACCTTAAAAACTACTGATGTTGAAACAGAGTGTTTGATCCCACTTAAGTTTTTTTTATTTTATAATGGAGAATTCTGTAGTGCATGATGCACTCCCAATCTTGTATTTATTTGTTGAATAAAATTACTGTTGATTTTCTATGTGAAAAATCCAAATAAAGAGGCAATTAAGATAATCATTGAGTATGACTGAGATAATCATATTAAAATGGTCATTTTTACAGTCCAAAGACCACGGTGTAAGAATCCACATTTTTCATGTGAGGATGAAAGTTGACGTTTTTATTGCTTTGTTCTAATAAAGTTTTGATATTGCTTGGTGTAAGTCGCAAGTAACGACATTGGAGTAGTTGTTCTTGGGTGGATAGTTGTTCCAAGAAACTGGAAGTTTTCTTGTTGTTTGAGGCGTGTTTTCTAAAACATGAAAGGAAAAGTAAATTAGAATTACAAGACTGTTTTTTTAAAATAAAATTCAACTGTTCCCAGACATGGATTTAAAGAGAGAGAGAGGCGCACCCTACTGTTTGTTCTTTCCTTCTTTGGCACCAGGAATGATCATTTATGGGTTGATTTTCGAGTATATTTGTGTTGTTTTAAACTAATAAAAAGTTTTGTTATATATATTGGTGATATTTATCTTATCTTTCTCGGCTTAGATGTTCATGCAATTTTGTGAACAAATTCGCAGATAGCAAAATTTGTCAAAAGCCGAAACAAATTTTTGTGATACTTATGTTTTGAAAAAATTCTGGATAGGTAAGGGAAGCATTGGACTGTTTGTTTAGAATTTTTATAGTGCACACCCACGGCCCCTAAGTGTGGAGCGTGTTTTTGAGGATGGGACGCGAACCATGAACTTTTGAATTAATAATCAGATCACGCCAACCTCTAAATACGCCCAGCTCGGAAATATTGGTAATTCCAGTTACAGAGAAATAGACGTTTCCCTCTTTCAATCTACTAGCTTATAGCTAGCGTCTTTTTCATTTGATTTTGGCACTCGGAAGCTGTGATGTTTTAAAACATTATTTTATATTAAGAAGCTGTTCATAACTTATAATTTTAATTATTTCGAAGCTGTTTAAAATTTATTAGCATTATTTTTATACAACAGAATGTCAATTATCGTACAGTTAAGTCAATCTAAAATAATTTATTCCTTAAAATATTTCGGTTAATAAACAGAACCATGTGCTTGTCTAAACTAAATATCTGTTGACAATGACTCTAAATATACATACTAGGAACCTGAATACTATAGAGATTCGAGCCAATACATAAACTTTATATAAATTAGTAGTTATTAAAGCGTGGATGTGTTAGTGTACAGATGCGTACAGAAAGGTTCTGGCCCGAGATTTACTGTTAAACACGCTTTATGTTAGCCGAGAGTGCTTCTGATCGTTTGTCCTCTCTTTGGTCTACGGTTCAAAATTAGGGACGCCTATACCTCAACCCTAGGGCGTCGCATAAAATAACACTATCGTTGGAAATAACAGATTGGAGATTTATGAAACTGAAGATATCTGCGGTAAATTATATTCGTATATTTTTTCGTAAGATTGCGTCTCGTTAATTATGCATAAGCGGTGATCTTATACATCTTGTAACGTTAAAATTAAGAAAATTGGTTATGGGTTCTGTTGACTAGCTACCTTCCCTCTAGTCTATCAGTTCAAAATTAGGGACGGCTGGAGCAGATAGCTCTGCGCGAATATCCGAAAGCAAAGAAGTTTTATCATCCGTCTTGTTTTTATAAGTTTGAAGTATTAACTACCACACAGCAGAGTAACATTAAAATTCGCTCTAAAGTCAACAACAATTTAATTATATTCTGGTTATTTTCACACGCTTTATGCAATAGTTTCAACACTTCCAGTTTAATCACAATATAAAAGTTCAGGCCCAATGAATACAGCACCGCAGCGCTGAATCAAAACAAACGCTACATTCTACGTATATTCTAGTTAAATATTTTAAGAATCATTTTAGAAATTCCTTTAGTTCCAGCTAGCTAGGATTTCTAGTTCTAAAAAAAAACAAATGAACGAAAATAACATGAACAACACCAAAAAAAATTAACCTCTTGGAATTATCTTTAGATTTGTGTATAATCGAGTCATGTGACCAAACCTTCATTTTAATTGTCCGTACTTATTGACACAAGTTATATCATGTCAATGACTATCTCTGTACTTAAAAATATTAAATCGCGCTTTAAATTTCTGTATTTTTAAGGGCAGTAGTACTTTAATCGAATGGTGGGATTTGACTGTCTCTCTTTTAACCCATCCATGGCCCCATAGTGCGGAGCGGGATTTTGCGGTAAAGAGACACGAACCATGGATTTCCGTTTAGCATGCTTATCTTTTAGCCATCCGGTGTCTTAGAAACAAGATAGATAACATACCCACTTATTTCAGTAGTCCATCCAATCGACTTCTCGGTGGATGTTGCGGGCGCTTCAGTATGGGGAAGGGGGTAGTGACGATGTTTATGCGAAGTGAATGCCTTAGTTGTCGGCTTACTCTGTTGGACTCCAGGAGTGCTTGAACTCTTTAATAAAGGTCTGTCTTGAGCACAAACTACTGTGACGTCAGAAACAGACTGCATGCTCAACTTATCTTGATAACTACTATGAGTAGATGGATTTCTGAACGTCGTTTGTTTTTGTATTGGGAGACTGGGATGGACAATATACTGCCTTTTTAGATGTTCCTGCATATGGTTTCCATCATTTAAAACTATTTAACAAAAGAATAATTTGAAATGTTTTAACACAAAAAATATTGAATTATATTCTTTTTTTCTTGTTTCTTTTAATGTTAAATAACATCCACTTCGGGATAATTAACTGGTTATTTATTTATTTTATTTTATCAAAACGTGAATTTCAGTGAAGAAAAGGTGGAGTAGAAGCGTAATCTATTCTTTGATTCGCTACTTCCGTCTTTACATCTAAACCAAAATCAGCCACTCAAAAAATATATATATATTAGTGATACCAAAATAGTCAATGAAATTTTCAAAAACAAGATTTATGAAACTTTTAATATCTTATTTGCAGGAAGGACACTTGGGGACTCGGGAAATATCATAAGGATGTTTTATTTAAACAAACTACTGAAGGTAAGGTCCTCATATCTTGTGACTTTTTCTCTATATATTTTGATCTCGATTTCGTGATTCATTATTCACCAGGCACTAAACTCGCAATGCGTTTATTCCGTTAACATAACATATTAAGAGCATTGGTAGTTCACACAGAGCCAATTGGGAGTGAAGTGTTTAAAACATTTACAGTTATATTTACACACATCTATAGTTTCTTCTTTATTGTGGTTTGTACACACATTCAGGTACAGCTTATGTCTACACTCACTTTAAACTTTTAGGCTTAGTTTAAGAGCATGAACCGTTTGAATTATCGTCAATATTCATATGTTATCGTTCAAGTGATTTCATCACATATATCTGACATTTGAATGTCGTTGTATTCTTTAACTTTTTATTAAGAGCATTAAGGGTTTGTGAATATCATATAAAATTGTAATTTTCACTTAACAGCCCTAAGAAGATTTAAAGGAGTAATGAAACTTCGTGGGAAGAAAATGGATTCTACTCCTGATGAGTCCCCGCTTCCAAGATGAGTTGATTCTGTTGTATTTTTTGTACTTTTTCTGTGTTAATGCTTTCCTATTTTGCTACGCCTGTCATGGCCTGATGGTTAGAGCTCAACTCGCAAACTGCGGGTTTCGAATCCCCATCACCCAACATGCTCGCTCATTCAGCCGTTTGGGTATTGTAATGTGATGGTCAATTCCACTATTTGTTGGTAAAAGAGTAGCCCAAAAGTTTGCGTGGGTGGTGTGACTAGCTGTCATCCTTCTAGTTTATCACTACTCAATTAAGAACGGCTAGCTCAGAAAGCCGTCTGGTGGCTCTGCTCGAAATACTAAACAAGCCAATCCATTTTTTCCCTGTATCTTTGCACTTCTGATACTGCTCTATTAGCACGTACAAGATGTATTCTCCTCCCCACCCCTCCACACACACACACCTTCATGCATGAATGGGGTTTTGTGTCAGGTTGAATATAAAACACGAAACGTTCGTAGTAAATAAGAAAACATTTGCGATGAACCCCTTTTTCGGGATACATACATACCAATAAACACGCAGGTACACATATATGTACTGAAAGTGAAATATCGACTAAATATGAAATTTACATGGGTATACGTAGTAATTAATAGGAATTCAAAAGGAATACATTAGGATTTCAGAGGTGAATAATACTTTTTTAAATATTTTAGAATATTTGAATACACAACATGATATTTTATACCATGAAGACGTTTCGTCAGTAGATACGGCAACAGCAAGCTGAAAAACGTCTCTATGATACTTGGAGAATCTCTCTTCCCGTTAGGCACACACAAAAATATAACAACAAAAACTTCTCACTGGTGCATTCTCTTTTGTCTATATGTGTTTTAAATATATGCTACAGTAATTCTCATACGCGTTCAACGTACGGAAAAGAGAAAGGGGGTGCCTCTGAGGAAAGACATAAATGGGCCAGATCTGAACGACGAACGCCTCCCCCCCCCACAATATCAATTCACAGACAGCACTAAATATAGATGAAAAACTATTAAGTGTGAAACACAAATAGGGAGGTTAGATCCCAACCTCTCCACCTCATTGGTTGCCCTAAGAGTGCGTTCGAGGTATATTTATAAAGACAAAACAGAATAGGACGGGGAAGACATAGAGATGACAGCCCTAAGTTTGGTCGAGATCATTTAAAAACTATATGGATGAAAAATGAGCACACACACAGACAGTGGCCCCCTCGGTAAGTGACATAGGAATAATATCCAAACGACAATTTAATATGACACTCCTGAGAAGGGGGGGGGGGCTTAAGGGC